TCACAATGCATTTCAAAATGCACGTTCATAATTGCTGTTCTGTATATACTTTGAGTCAACAACAAGACATATAGGCTACTGTATTGTCTTTATCATAGTCCGTTATTATACAACATTAAGCATTTTGCTGTATGGGAGGACAAGTGAAAGTTTGCGCATTGTGTTCATAGGCATGTTTGCCTTGTAATACATTACATAATAACTATATATCGAATTAGATCTTTTAATTGAACTTAATGTATCTTAATACATTACGCCATGTTAAGTGTTTATGTTTTTCTACGGGAGGAAAATGCTTAATGAGAGACTTTGTGCATTGTGTTCATATTCTGCTGTTCTGTGGCCACGGATTTGCGGGTCTTGTCTTTGTCTTGCAGGACCCTGTACGTTATAGTACAAAATTAGTTGTAATCGTTTAATCACCACAGCGTCTTGTCTCCATTGGCAACACGCACCATTTGTGTTGATTGCAAGTGACGTCGCAGGAGGTATAGGAGAGTGCAAGTGGCGATTGCAAGTGACATTGTAATTTAGTTTCTTTTTTGTTGTCTTCACCACCTGGCTACTGTTGTAAAATGTTGAGAGATTCAAACAAAAAGTAATCAATAAATAGAACAAAATAAAAAAAAATAAAAGACTGCAAGTGACGTCGCTAGCGGAAGCGCAAATGTCTGAGAATGCAAGTCTGAGAGTGCAAGTGCCAGGCTGCAGCTAGACCCTCTTGGCTTTTGTCGCCTCTAGTTCTTTGAAGTTGGCTTGGTGTGTCCCGGCCTTAACAATAAAAACAATAAATATGATGATTTTTATAATGTTTAAATATGTTCACGGGTAAATAAACAACAGAATAAATCTAATATCACAACTTTCATCTGTATATCAATAAAATGAAAATAAAAATTCAAAAGATGTTAACTTGTAAAAAGTATTTAAGTATACATAATTAAGTAAACTGAATTATTATTATGAAAAGGCTACCTTAGGGTATCATCCCACTGAGCTTTGTAGCTTTTATTTTATTTATTTATTTATTTTTTGGCAAGCGTAGAATGTATGTCTCATGTCGTTAAGGCTGCTCAAGTCTATCACCTACAGGCTGTACAGTACCAGTTTTAAGGTGCTTTTTCTTTCATTTTTGTTAACAGTTTACAACAAGGATGTTTCACATTGATATTATACACATTTTATATAATTAATTTTTTTTTATTATTAATTTTTGAGAATTATACATTTTTGGCCCATAGGAATAGGAATCATCATGGCTATCCTGCTGATCCATGTGTGTGTTGTGGAAACTCTTGATTTTTCAGGAATAAGTATTGATTTACAGGTAAGGAAAGGTTTATTTATATACATTTTATGACACAACTAAAATATGAAACAGGATGATGAACATTCCTGTCTTTTTAAAATGCTATATAATCTAAGATTTAAAAAAAATGTTTTTTTGCATGTAAGATACAGTATGCAACAGTGACCACAAAAAACTGTTGAGTCATGTGATAAACATTTATATGTAAATAATTATTAAATAAATACCTTTGGAATTAGTAACATTCATTCAGTGTGAGATTTTTTTTTAAATATATATCATTCCAGTTTAGCTACACAGATGGGCCAGTGCATCATATAAGACGAAGAAGTGCAGGTCTGGTTCACAGTTTTGTCCTCCACTCAAATACAGATAATAGTTTTATGTTCTATATATGAAAATAAACAAATGATCAGTTTCAGTTTGTTTTGAGAGAGTGGCTTGATATTGACCTACTCTTGCACTCATGGTTACTGAAATCACATTATGTTTTCTTATGTATAGATCCAGTGGAATACATTATGGTTGTTGAAGTGAATGCATCCGAAACGGCAGCGATCAGCAAAATCAGATCTTCTGTTAACTCTGTCATACTTCCATTTCAAATGGACAATGGTGTTGAAATAACAGCTTTCAACATTTCAACAGGTGAGACTGTCAAAGCATCATCATTCATTAGCTAAATATCCTTCTGATGTCTGTAAATGTACAATCAACAAGTAGTGACACTACTAAAGTTATAAAAAAACAGAACATAACTACTGATATCTACTCTGTCAATTATTCCACTCTTCCTCTGCTGTTTTTCAGTGTGTTCTTTGAATGAAACACAGTATCAGTGTAAATGTGAGGGTCTGTTTGTTTGGCCGAATGACACGTGTCACTCATACCAGGCCTGTGATGACACCACTGATGGTTCATGTACATGTATCAATGGCCTTCCAATTGACGGACAGTTCTGCCAAGGTGAAACAAATGCAAAGTTGTGCAATAACAATATTTCCTATTTATAGTAGCCTGGCTATTATAAATTGGAAACATTTTTAACATTATAAAAATATAGGCTAATTGTTAAGAATATTTTAGCTCTTTATCTTTCGATGCCGTTCGACTGTTCTCAGTCCTTGCATGGGCCCATGGAAAGAATTATGAACATGAAGCCAATTGTCTGTTCACAAACTTCTTCAAATCTTTATTGTCTTATTCTAGGCCGGGTATATATAAGGATACAATAGGGGTGGTGCACCCCTTTCAACCAATAAGATACAGATTACATATGTGTTGTATATGAGCTAAAAATACGGGTTATAAGATAAATATAGGATCTGGACATATAAGGAATACTTCTGATAGAGGGACATTTCAACCTTCAGCAAAGGACAGACTAAACCCAGTAATCTGGGTCTGAAAAGGGCCCCCACCATTTGAACCCTACGTATCCTATACATGCGTGTATACACAGATAAAGAGAGATAAGAATAGAGAATAGAGAGGGAGAGATCACAGATGGGGAGAGAAAGGGAGGGTAAGAGAGAGAGCACAGAGAGGCAAACTCACAAAAATATTCTGGCAGAGAGAGTGATATAATCTATCAATAATTGCAGCAAATGTTCCGCTCAAACCTTTACCGTTTGTTCTCGCAGAGCCACTTTCTGAGTATACGCATGAGTATGAGGCTGAAATTGATGTAAGCTTTTCGGACTTGTTCCTGGTGGACTACTTGCGCAATCTCGTCACAAACGCCAGCCTGCCTTTGACTCTGAACAACAACACAAACATCACACACATCGACATGACTACTGGTAAGAATCGAATGTTTCATTCATGTCATGTGAAAATAAAATAATTGCTAAAGAAATATGAAATATTATACCATCTTGCGACTCAACATGACTTCTGACTTTGATAAAAATGGTCTTGAATGACTTCAGTGTTCAGTTTATGGAGGAGGAAGCACAAACCTTTTGATAAATTGCTTGAATTAAAGGACGAAAACGCATATCGCTTGGAAGAACAACAAGCTGGCAAGATAAGCTGCATAAGAAATAGCCTAACTTAAAATAGACAGAAAAACATTTAACGTTGCTAAGTTTTTTAGCGGAAGATTTAAGATAAAAATGAGACTTTTAGTAGATGTCTGTTAGCAGGCATTATTACAAAAAAAGGCTTCCTTCAGATTGACTCAAGATTATAATAAACCGGTTTGGGTTTATTTTGGATTATGTCATATTAAATTGAACCAATAATATAAACTGATCAGTTTTGCCTTACCATTACTATTACAGTGTGTAGGTTAAATGGAACAGAATATGAGTGCAAGTGCGAGGAGCAGTATTTTTGGCCCAATGACACCTGCAGGGCCTATCAGGTGTGTGATGGTATTGTGGGAGGCACTTGTGGATGTATTCAAGCTCTCCCTTCAGAGGGTCCGCTTTGCCAGAAAGGTGATTCATTGAATTTGCATTATCATGTTTTTGTTTTGTTGATGATGTTGAAGTTGTTAGAATATTCTTATATATTCAAGTCTTTTCTAAACACTGTTGTTTGAATGTTTGAAAAATTGAGCTATTTTTCTGAAATGTGTTATTCCCTTTCCAGATATAAATGAATGTCAATCCAGTTCATCTGTATGTGGTCCAAATTCTAACTGCACAAATCAGTTGGGAAGTTACAATTGCTTATGTTCGGATGGATTCACTGCAACAAACTCAAATCTCTCCATCAGCATCAATAACACATGTACAGGTACATTGTATATTCAAATGTTTGTAAAACTTTGAGTTTTTCCTCATGTCTGTTATTGTAAGGATAAATATATTTTATATGAATTTGACAATCAGAGTTTTATACTGTTTTTAATCTCTTCCTGAAATAAAGATGTGGATGAATGTCTTAAGACACCAGAGGTCTGTGGTCCAAACTCTCATTGCACCAACTCAGTTGGGAGTTACAGCTGTTCTTGCTTGAGTGGATTTACTGTAACAAATAGCCGTGAACCAGTCAGCGCCAGTAACCCATGCAGTGGTGAGCATGTAGAAAATACATAACATATAACACATGTAGAAGTGGGTTCTAGCTTCACATACGTATACTCTGAACTTCAATAATAACCTAGATTTTTCTTTTTGATATAATCAACAGCTGAATTACTGAACAATCAGTTTTTTGTTGTTGTACATGATTCAAAGCTGGTATATTTTATTGATGCTGTCAGACTGAACATTTAATCTTATCAGCAGCCATATTTTTATCATAATTTGTTTTATTTCAGATATTAATGAATGTCTCAACTCATCGTTGGTGTGTGGGTGGAATGCTAACTGTTCCAATTACAATGGAAACTATTCGTGCTCTTGTTGGGAAGGATATAATGCTACAAATATGAATGAGACTGTAAATAACAGTAACCCGTGCATAGGTGTGATTCATTTATTTGCATTTTGATGTTTTTCAGATGTAAAACATTTTTTCTAATTACATTTTTTTTTCTGTAATCAGGAAATGATTAGAAATATTGAGATATTGTTCTGAAATGTGTTATTCCCTTTCCAGATATAAATGAATGCCAATTCAGTTCATCTGTATGTGGTCCAAATTCTAACTGCACAAATCAGTTGGGAAGTTACAATTGCTCATGTTCAGATGGATTCACTGCAACAAACTTAAGTCTCCCCATCAGCATCAATAACACATGTACAGGTACATTATACATTCAGATTTGTGTGTATTACTACCTTAAATAATGAGATAAATAAGATTTTTGTTTAGAGCATTAAATGTTCTTAATGTTGATAATTTGTCAGCATCTGTAAAGATTAAAAGAGTAATAAGCACAATGCTGAATATGCTGAATTTTTAAACCATGTAATGTCAATTTCCACCAATTCCAACAGTACCACCACAAGCAACACCATCAACACCACCAACACCATCACCATCAACAACACCATCATCAACACCATCAACACCACCAACAACACCAACACCATCAACAACACCATCATCAACACCAACAACACCATCATCAACACCATCAACACTAACACCATCACCACCACCATCAACACCAACACCACCACCAACACCACTATCAACAAAAATGACAGCAACAGGTATTCACAGTAAAACAAAATCTGATGTTTGGTTTCATGCAGGATAAAATTATATCCATATTGTTGTTTTGCTAATATATCTAATTCAACAACAGCATAGACAGGTACTGTAAATATAAATGTTGCACAAAAGAATAAGGAATTAAGATGATGTTTGTGTTAGCAAGAGTACAACAATGGTATGAAATGCATGGCAATAACTAATAACAGGAAATAATTTTTTTTATTAATTTATTGTGTTATCATGAATTAATGTTTATTGGGGGACACCAGTGTTCTCCTTGTGTACCCCCTCTGGCTGGGTAGTATTTGTATTGTTTTATAATTAGAGATTGAGGATTGTTGCTTAAACCTGTTGATACAATGCACATAAATGTGCACTTTTTTACAGTAATTGGAATGTCAATTACAATAAATCAGACTTTTGACAGAAGTCTTACCGACCCTGATAGCAAGACTTACAAAGATTTATCTGGACAAATTGAGTCAACAGTGAGTATTCTGTGCTTCATTTTTAGTGAAATGTAATTTGTTTATGAACATGTTGATTTATTTGTTATTTACACATTGATTTAGTTCGAATGCTATTTATAAAATGGTTATTTCCCAGTCCTTGATTATTGATTGCTCAACAGCTGTGTTTTATTCTCAATAAAGCATGTCTATGACTGCTTCACTCGATGGTTCTGTGTATTACTGACCAATCAGAATCAAGGACTGGAACTAGCCTAATAGTTTTATATTGCTTTTTATATCATTACATTTTTGTATTTATTTTTCCCTAACATTCAGTTGACAGTCAAAAACAGTCCAAATATAATATCCTATAACGTATTAATAGACAGAATAACTATTGAATTTTCATTATTGGGAAAATAATTTCAAAGATAAATTGGGTATTTTGCTTTTTACAGATTGATGCAAATTATTTTAATAAGCTACCTGGCTACAGTTTTGGTTCTACAAAAGTCTCTGCCTTCAGGTATGATCTACCATTTACATTTTTCACTTTTTTTCACCCAACATTTCCATTTATTTACTGCTTTTTCAAACAAACACAATGTTAATGTCTTCACATCGGTGTGGTTTGTGTTTCTCCATAGGCCTGGTAGTGTTATAGCAGACTACACAATAAGTGCAACATCCAATAGCCTTGATTTTGGAGCAGCAAACACACAGGTTTCTGACTCTCTAAAGGCAAAAGGAATAAATTTAGTTGAAAATGCTTTTGCTCAAAGTGGTAAGAGTAGTCAGTGCCTAATCTAAAACCCTTCAGATTTCTTAGTTTCACCATATTTATTATTTTGTTGTTTAGGTTTTGTTTGTTGTTGGGTGATATGAGTTGTATGGTTTCTATTTACAGAACAAGCAGTTTTCACAAAAGATCAGTTATATCCTCTGCAAGAGGTGTACCTGAAATGTAATCAGCCAGAATTTGCAAAGGGTCAGATAAAATGGACAATGAATAACAAAGATCTGGCAGGAAACACAAAATATTTCATTTCCAATGACATGACAACTCTCACTATGCTAAACACGAGTGAAAGTTACAATGGTGAGCGACATGAGTCTGATTTTTGTCTTGTCTCTGATATCACATGGCAAAATGTCTGATTGCTATTAGAGTCCTGTTTTAAAAAATATACTGCTGTAAAACTGTGCCACAGTTTGATTTAAGTACATTAGCATATTGATCTACTATAGCATAAGATTAGACGAGATTATACTATATGTGGCACAGAATATGAACTATTAAACCAATCGAAATAAAGCTACTCTCATAGTGTGTTAATGCCATGAACATTGCCTCATTAACAAAGTTTTGTTTTGCGAGCAAATAAATAAATAAATACATTAGAAAAGGTATGAAGTTCCTCAATGTTTAGTAACATTGTTCAGTAAACAAAACCTACTGGGTTTAAGAGATTTGCTCTAATGATTCTGTATTGATTTTTCATACGTAGGTCGATATTCATGCATTATACAAAGGAATACAATACCATACATTCAGTGGCAAAACATCATTATTAAACGACGTCCCAGTATCATTGTGGGGGAAAAAGACCGTGTTTTTCCATGTGATGTCAGCAGTTTTCAACTGATATGTTCTGTTGATGACGGCTACAGTCTTGAGTGGGTCGTGGGTGGAACAGTACAAATTTCAGGTTGTACATAAAAATCATTGTTTTTTATCAAAAACATTTTCTAAAAGTTATTGAGTAGTTGTCCTTCAAATAAAACCTTCATGTTATTAATGTTTTATAGTAAATGCATTTCTCTTTTTACACAATCAGGATCTGACAGTATCACATTAATCTATGATACTCCGAGGGTGAATTGTTCAGATCAAACCTTTACCTTTACATGTCGTCTCAAGGATCTGCCACAACTACAGCATTTCAGTTATAGCTATAGCAGCGTCACAGTAAGGACAAGCACAGAAAGTGAGCCTTCAGTTTCTCATTGTTTTCAGCATCAAAGTGCTTTTTTACTGTTGTACAGTTGCATTAAATGGTATTTACGGTCTAGCAGACTTTTCTTTGGATCGTATCACACCTGATTATCTGGTGTTGAATGTACTGGTCATATTGTTTAGTCATTTGACCCTAATTATTTCTGATGTTTCTGCATAATGTGCAAGTAGCCTGCAGGGGTACTTTCAAGTTCCAAAATCTATAAAGTGTAATGTGATATTCTGTTCTGAGAGAAACCGTTACATCGCATCTGTTTACTTCTGATTTTTAATCAAATAATTCTTCAGATTATAACTGTCAAAATAAAGAAATTGGAGTTGGAAATACAAATGACGTAAAAACAGGAGTCTGTGGAATTGGCACGAAAGGCACCATAACTTACAAATGTGAATCAAGTGTTTGGAAACCATTAGAGGACAACTGTGTACTTGAAGTTATCGACAACCTTAAAAACAAACTTGAGGTAATCTATTGATCATATCTATCTACAATGATCTGGCCATTTTAAATGTTTCTGATATTTGTATTTTTTGTACTTTGCAATTTAGTCCTTGCGTGTGGAGGAGATTCCAGGGTTTATGGCTAACCTCAGTATTGCCACATCAGATAATACTATTAATATAACCCAGTCTGCTGCTACTGTCCAAGCAATTGTTGACATACTCTTTAAAATTGCCGACTTGTCACAAACTATTGTCATCAAAAAAATTGTGATGGAGGTATGTATATTCACATTCAAGCTTGTAAAATGTAATGTGTAAATGTGTTATGCTTGCTGGATTGAATTAAACTAATGTTTAGTTAAGATAAATTAATTGATAATTAATTTTACTTACTGTTATTTTGTATTGTTATAGCCACTCTCACCATTATCATGAATTAAACCTGTCCATTATTATATTATATTATATTATTGTGACGAATGGGGGCGGGACTCGAGACCGGTGAGTGGTGCAGGTGTCGCTCATTATCAATTACTCCACCGGCCTCGCTCCATTCCCACGGCTCTCGGCCCCGCACCCATTCGTCACAATTATATTATATTACATTATATTATATTATTATATGAGGAATTCTTTATAAAAATGTGTCAGGTTATGTTTTTTTTATTCTAGGTTATAGTAATATCTTATATTTTGTCTTATTAGATTATCCAAATATATATATCTTATATATTAAATATTTCCACATTTTATGGGCTAAATTTCATAATTTAATACAGAATTTTATATTAAATTTCCAGAGTTTCCTAAACACAGTGGACATTATTGTATCAGGTAATGTCAGTGATACATGGAACAAACTGAACAAAGGCAACAACACAGAAGACACCAGCATTAAACTTCTGAGCGCTATTGAGGATATAAGTGACCGTCTCACAGATGAGTTTGATATTTATGAATCATCCATTCAGCTGAATAGAACTACAATTAAAAACTCAATCAATATAACATCAGCACTGCCAAACTCGGCTACAGAGATTGTGGTACCACAGGTTCCTCAAGAGACTACCATAACCATCATAATCTTCTCAACTCTTGACAAAGTACTACCTTCTCAAGGTACTAATGACAGCAGGAAATCAGATGTGCGCATCAATGGAGATGTGGTTGTTGTTAAGGTTAATGAAACTCTTAACAACATTTCTTTTACATTTGACATTACTAATCAGTCTTTGGGAAATCCTCAGTGTGTCTTTTGGAACTTCAATCTCAGCAATTGGGATTCCACTGGATGTGAAGTAAAGCCCTATATAAGTAAAGGGAATGAAACTGGCAAGATTACATGTGAATGCAACCACACAACTTCCTTTTCAATCTTAATGTCACCGTTTTCCATTGATCACGAAGTCTTAGACTTTATAACTTACATTGGCATAGCTATTTCGATGGCCAGCTTGATTATATGCCTGATTATTGAGACTATCGTATGGAAATCAGTGAGAAAGAAAGACACATCCTACATACGACATGTCTCCATAGTCAACATTGCCGTTTCCCTGCTGATCGCAAACATCTGTTTTATCATTGGAGCTGCAATCGCAGAACAAGAGCAGCCACCCTCAGTGGGTCGCTGCAGTCCAGTGGTTTTCTTCATGCACTTTTTTTACCTGGCTCTTTTCTTCTGGATGTTAATGTCAGCGCTGTTGCTCTTTTACCGTACAGTCATGGTCTTGTCTCAAATGTCAAGGGCCAAAATGATGGTCATTGCCTTCATAGTTGGTTATGGTGCACCTTTGCTGATAGCGGTCATCACTGTTGCATCAACAGCTGGACCTCAAAATTATATTTCCAAAAAAAATGCATGCTGGCTGAACTGGTACGAATCAGAGGCCCTGCTGGCATTTGTGATCCCAGCTTTCACTATTGTAGCCATAAACCTTGTGGTTTTGATTGTGGTTCTGTACAAGATGTTGAGGAGAGGAGTTAGTGCCGCAACTCAACCAGATGAGAAACATACCCTGGTGGTCATTGCCAGATGTGTGGCCTTTTTGACTCCTATCTTTGGTCTAACATGGGGATTTGGCATTGGAACCATGGTGTCACGTGACTTTGGTATTCATGTGGTGTTTGCACTCCTCAATTCACTGCAGGTACTACTTTATAATGTCAATTTTATAGCAAGATTACATTTTGTGCATGTTATTTCAGTTTTTCTTTTTTAATAAATCTGCAAAAATGTCAACAATTCTGTGTTTTTCTGTCAATATGGGGTGCTGTGTGTACATTAATGAGGAAAAAAAAATAACTTAAATGATTTTAGCAAATGGCTACAATATAACAAAGAGTGAAAAATTTAAGGGGGTCTGAATACTTTCCGTACCCACTGTATATGCAATCCACTAATGCTGCACATTAAATTATATCAATTTTTTTGTTATTGTATTTTAAAATTGAACCATATTGCAACTGATACCTTCATGTGTTTGTAACACTTCCTTCTATTAGGGATTCTTTATTTTGGTGTTTGGAACGCTTTTAGACAAAACGGTATGAGTTTACTTCTATTGCACAGAGCTTAAGAAAAGCCATTTAACTTTGTAATCTTGAATTTAACCTAGAGATCTGATCATCTGCCGTTATGTTATACCATATAAACCATGCATTACAAATTTGACAGCAATATATCAACCGGGTGGATTTCATTTAGACTGTTACTGATTATCCTGCTTATTACGTGAATACCCACCAAATATGTGAAAATAAAATACTGGTTTGAGTTAAATATATTTAACAGTTTTATCTGTAAGAAAAAACAATAGGCCACTACAAAATCAACCTAGCAGCAATACGGACACTGCAACAACATTACAGTAATATGACTACCAAAGTTCTTACCAAAGCCATTTTCATTACAATCAGTGAATATTAGGAAATATCTGACCACTGGAAGTGCAAATGACAAATTAGAATCAAGTAATTTTTAGAGAGCTGTGTAATAAGCAGACATTTAAGATCCTTTCAAGACATTTCTAGAAGTTAACTAGAGATCTCTGATTGCAGGTTCGTGAGTCACTACCAGGAAAACTGTTGCTACAGAAACTCAGTTCCAGTCGTACCAAGGTAAATGCCATTCTATAATAACACTTACTTATATGAACTCTTTTACTAATGTTCAGCTTTTACCCCCTGATTAAATATTTTTTACATTGACTCTGTGATTTATTTTGACTGATATCTCCCTACAGAGCACCAGTGGAGGAACATCATCCACATCTGGCCTGCCTTTCTTGCGAAGGAAGCAACGGAGGCGTAAGTAGATGACATATCTGAAAGCTAATATTTGTGAATATATTTTCAGTTAGATGAATCTCTAATGTTGTTACACAGTATTTCTCATTTGGATAAATATGACTGCTAAATGAGTTAATGTGAATACAGTCGACAGTTCAGTGAGTAACATGCAACTAACTTTTTCAGATGTGTACAACGTATCCGAAACCAACCTTTCCTCAGCAGTTACATCCTCAGACAGCTCCGGTGGCTCATACGCTCATATGAACACTTAAAGCACCAAAAAGTGTTTCTGTTACTATGACAAGCTACATGTTAGCTCTTTTACTGTACAGCCTCCAATAAAATAGTAAGGTATTGTAAGAATAAGAATAACTGTAAGGGCATGGTGAGTGTAAGGGGCTTTTACACAGGTTGTTTAAAAAGATTCTTTATTTTTTTGTAATAATAGCGTCTAGGCTTGCAGTAGTATCACGATATTCATTTTTTAAAACGGTAGTATAGTTAGTACTGCTGTAATGTTCTATATGTGTGGCAGGTAAACTATTTAAAAGGTTAATTTGAATTTGTATGCAAAAATATTACAAGAGAGTCTTTCTGGAGCCTTTCTCTTGTGCGTCCATTGCTCGAGCATTTGACAATTTCTAGAATAGGCCTAGTTGGTTAGTGTCACGAATCCGGTCCGTGGCCTTCCGGCTGATTGCCACCAGAGGTCGCTCTCCCATTACATTGACTCTCACACCACACAGACTGTTACACATTACCCTGGACTGCATTTCCCATCATCCATGCACACACACAGCTGCATCCTGCTTTATAAGCCATGGACTTCCTCTCTCTCAATGCCGAGTATTGTAACACTCTTCTAGCGATAGCTACATTACGGAGCCATTCCAAGTTTACGTTTCTAGTTCTACTCTAAGTCTAGTCATTTTGTGTTGTCTGTTTCCTGACCCTCTGCTTGTGTATCTTGGATTAACCCTTTGCCTGCTGTTTCGGACTGTGTTTGCACCTTGCCTAGACTATCGGTCTTTGTCAGTCACGTGCGTTTATTATGTGTGACGTCACCGAGGCGCCATTTTGAAGGTATGTTGCATTGAGCAGTGAACTAAAAGTGTACAGAGCCGTGCAGTAAAGACAGATTAAATCGTCATACTGGAGAAACGGATGCAAACCAAGTAGATACGGTACCGAGATAATCTCAGCAAATTTTTTTTAGGAACCGTAATATGTAATTTGTCACTGATGATGATTAACAATTAACACTGATCCATACTAACATTACCTGACGTAAAAAGCTGAGTGCCACCGTCATCGCTGCTGCCTCCAACCTCGTTGGATATATGATTGTCTTGTTTACAGTATAAAAACTTATTTTATTTACTTATACACTTATATGTTCTGTTTTTGTCTACCATTGATTTGCACACATAATTTGCACAATTGTAAATAATTACATAATGTCTACCATTAAACCTTACCCTGTTTGTTCACAATTTTCCGTACTTCATTTGGCTGATAACAAGTACTGATAAGTACTAATAACAAGGAGACAATCAAAAACACATTTATGATAATGGCATTATACATACTTTATTATTAATGCAACACTGTGTTAAAAATCAGTTTCAAAATGCATAACAGAAGATGTGACAAGCATGATGAATCATCAACACACTGTTTTCTTAAGTGGACACCATGCAAGTACTACAAAGAAAGCTGAACAAATTAATAATAATAAGATGATTTGATGCTTCTGCCAAACATTTCTGATGACCCTTTCTGCATGGATTCTTAGAAGTGCTAGACGATTTGTCAAATACTAAATAGTGCTTGTAGGTAGAAGACATTTTCACACACACTTTCACACCGAATGGTTTCTCTGTGGAAATCTCAAAACAGTCTATCATTGCTATTCTGTGTCCAAAGGACTCCACAAACTAGTGAGGCATAATTTTGTGCTTGTCAGTTGTCTAAAACAGTGTTTGTGCAGGGAGATCCAATCTGAAGTGTATAAGGTTAATATAAGTATTTAAAATGAAATGAGAATTGTTCTTATTTCTGACATGAAAAGCAGCATAAGGCAATAAAAACCTTCATGGCAGGGATTCTCAACTCTAGCCCTCAGAGTCCACTTCCTATAGAATTTAGCTCCAACCTCAATCAAACTCCCCTGCCTGTAACTTTCTAGTAATCGTGAAGATCTTGGTTAGCCTGTGCAGGTGTATTTTATTCGGGTCGGATCTCAACTCTGCAGTAAAGTGGACCTCAAGGGCCAGAGTTGAGAACCCATGTAATAAAGGTCCCCAAGTTTGGCATACCTGTATAACGCTTTACTTTAAGATCACTGAAAAACTCAGACATCCTGAGTTTACGCCACAGCAGTCAGTTTTCTTCTGCGCACACACAAGTAAGTTACATTCAGTTAGTGACACTGAGTGGTGTCTTGTGAAGCCGACCATCTCCTCCAGCCTGGTGGGTCATCGTCTCTGCTGGCTGCAATGTGTTTTTTTCTTAACTGCTCCCACTTACTGTTTAGTCACACCTAGCCTAACTATATAAAATGAAAATGAACAAAAATGTAGTCGGTACTTTTTTAAAATTGTAAGAAATAAAAATGAGAAACATTAGAAATGCATTTTAGTGAAGTATTCAGTTTAAATTACACTTAAGTACAAACCCCCCAAAACAATATTTAATTTCAGTAACGTTAGTGAAGTAAAATAAAATGACTCTTTACACCTATGCATAAAACGATTGCAAGACATTTCATGGTACATGACCCGTTTCTGCTCACCTGCTCCCTGGTAGTCTGTTTAATAGCATTGACCCTAAATAACATGTGAATATAATGTTGGCTACTTCAGAAAACAGAAAATAAGCACATCTAAAAATATATCTTACTTACCTTTACGAAAATGTCAAGGGTAAACGAACATAACCAGAGATATGTTGGCAAATATGATGATTTTGCATATCACCGCTGCAACCCAGGTCATCTGATGCGGCGACGCCTCTTGTTGTTTAGTTTTTTTTTTCAAGTGTGAGACCTACAATATCTTTCTTCGTGTTTTTGACCTTTTCTATCATGTAATTCACTATTGCAGACTTTAACACAACAAGAACGTACCCTTTTAAATCAAATAAAAAAAGACAATTCTCCAACTACAGAACACCTCGGCTGGCGGCGATACCCAAAATGCACTTCGATTCTCGTGAGTGTGACGTCACCTGACAAAGACGATTGCTTGTGTTATTGGATAACCCCTCGTGTCAAGCCCTCTGGATATTGTTTGCCGATCGTAGACCCACGCTTGCCCTAGGAATACTCTTTGTCTTGCCTGAAATGTACCTGTTTGCCACTGTTTGACCCATGCCTCTTATGACCACGTCTCTTGTCTCGTCTCATCGCCTCCGTTACAGTTAGTCTCTAGAACTATCTTTGCAATGACAAATGAATTTTCATTCATCAACTTAGCGGCACTTGCACTGGGTTCTTATCATTCATATAATGTGATTTTAACATTATAAATTAATTATATTTTAGTATATACATATTGGCCATCAGTCAGAGTTTCAAGCTGTTTCAAGCTGTGGAGAAAAATGCTCATGTATGTGTTATTGTTTTATATAACATGATACAGTAGTTCAGCAATATGATAAGCAGGAGTGCTGTATATCCACATGATTGCAAATGTGTTTTTGCACAAAGATAAAATAAGTACACTGTAAAATCCAATAGTTTACCTTACTTAGATATAATTAGTTATCTTTACTTAGTTCTTATACTTATTAGGTTGTATTAAGTTACAGCTAATTTCAAGGTAAATAAAACAATTTACTTACTGTTTTGAGTGATGCATACTTAAAATATTCAAGTAGCCACAAAGGAACCAATGACATTAATACACCAGTGAGAGGCAGCAGTGCACTAATATGTTACTAATGTGCAACAAATTAACAGAAGAAGAAATAAAGTTTTTGAGAGGGGGCAATTCTTAATAGACGTTTCCCTAATTTCCTCCACTTCTGCAGTTCTCTTTCTCTAGTTGCATTCACTTGTTTGCCAAAGTCATCTTGAATGTTGAATTATCAATACAACTGAAAAATTTGAGAGAACATCACATAAGCTGACTAAATAAATTGTTGTTGATTTTCCTAAAAAACTTTTTTGTTTAAACTCTCCATTATAGTGATTAGTGCTCCCTTTGGTTGGTCACTTGGAACTTCATTTATATTATTATAATTCTCTTTCTACTGATGCAACAATGCATTATGAAATCATAGTTATTTGGTTTCAAAGGAAGAGAAGTAATAAATAGGTTACTTTTAGAAGGTAACTTCTTATTAAATCATTAGCTACTGTCTGTTTCATGTTGATTAACGATCTTTTACAATTTTATTGTTTTTCATAAACACCTTGTGAAGCTTTTATTTGGGTTGATATAATCTTTTAATATTTGTAGCAATATTTTGCAATTGACCATGCTCACATAGTACACACAGTCACACACAGACTTCAACATTCAGCACACCAAACACAACAATGGTAGCAATTACATTTTATTAATTGTAACAATAGGCAATTTTTTGCTCTTTTTGTTGTACTACTACTGACACAAAACAGCAAATAAAATTGACAAATTAAAAAAGTTAAACAATTTATTCATACTGCAGTGCACTCTGGGAGTTAGTAATTCTGAGTAGCTATACTAAATCAAGAGTAAACCTAAAGTAAATAATCAAGTGCTCCCTACAGTTATTTTTTAGTTACTAGAACTCTCATGTAAGTGGACTATACTAACTACACATTTGTCAGTACAACATACTATTCCTATTTCACTTTACGTAGTTTTAAGGCAATCGGTTTCCTATTTTCCTAGTAATGTGAAAACTAACAAGAAGTTAACACAACTAATTATTTTAGGTGTCACAGTCTCTCTGGAAGGAACGAGGAGACGCAGGAGAATACTTCAGAGACTTTAATAAAACAAATGAAGGGATACAACCACTGGAACTCAGGGATGGCATAACAGGAGACAGAGAACTGAGAACTGGGAACACTTTAAATACACAGAAACAAATGGTACACACCTGGGAACAATACGAACTAAATGGGGAACACATGGACTAAATGAACATACAGACAGGAAGAACCAAATAAGGGCATAAGAGGGAGGGAAACACAAGGCACAGGAACACAACACACAGGGTGGGTGCTCTGGAAGCCACTAAGGACAGGGTAACTGGACAGAAGGCCTCCATTCCGGAACCCACAGCGGAGCAGGAAGCTCAGGAAGCCATGGTGGAGCAGGTGACTCGGGAGGCCATGGCGGAGCAGGGAACTCGGGAGGCCATGGTGGAGCAGGTAGTCCAGGAGGCCATGGCGGAGCAGGTAGTCCAGGAGGCCATGGCGGAGTAGGGAACTCAGGAGGCCATGGCAGTGCAGGCAGTTCAGGAGGCCATGGCAAAGCCGCGGCCCCGGCCTCTACTAATACTTGGGGAGAATAACGGGCTCTAAGGCCTTCTCGGGGCCAAAACCGGGGACTGGAGCACTCACTGGGCTTAACTGTGGATCAGGAGCCCTCACTGGGCTCGACTCGGGGACAGGAGCCCTCACTGGGCTAGACTCGGGGACTGGAGCCCTCCGTGGGCTATACTCGGGAACTGTGTAGCG